ACATACACAACATTTTTATGAAAATATGCAACTTTAATTTTAAATTTAAAAAAATTCAATATATTCATTAAACTTGTCAATTCAAATTTAAATAAATTTGAATTTATAAGATTTTATGCATGAATCAATTGAAAATAATAACTTTCAAATAAAATTAATAGCAATTATAATGTTTCCAGATTATCACATTTCAAAATATAATATTTCATTTAGTCATAATCATGATAAATCATAATTATAATTTCACAGTGGCCTTACTTTTACTTTATTTCATACTTCATTTAATATCGTATAGGCATTCTCGAACGCACACCCCATGACCCTTCCCGAATATAGCTCAATACGGTATTCCTTATCTTCGAATAAATTCAATAACAACAAAATAACCAACAATCATCCCCCATTTTGTCGTTATCCATGATTTATTCTCAAACTTTTCAAGATACACAACAAGCTAATGCATAAATAAAAATATCGCCACGATTGAATTTTCATCTTAGTACATTACATATTCCAAGCATTCAAGAATCTAGGTCTCCCAAAGATTGAACCTATCAACTCCTATTGAATACATGAAGATAATGAACACAGAAACTTTATTTTCCAAACAATTTATACTTGACACTTTTCAAGTCATGTATCCCAATCCACTCACTAACATATCGAAAGCCAAGTCCGTAGCATTTCTTGAAGCGGCAAAAATTCATATTCATATAGGTAATTCCTTTAGTCTCGCCCCAGCACGACGACTTTTCAAAAGAATTATTAAGAGGCCAAGCCTCAGTCTAACTTTCTTGCAAGTCCGAACACATTATTTGGGATGAATAAACCACGTGTGTTCCAATCCTCTAAACGTGAGCTTTCCACATTGAATTTAGCTCCCAACGTTGTATTAGGAGAGAATTGGGTGTCACGCTAAGACAATTTAATGGACTTTAACCATCCCGATAACATTTTGTATGCCAATTTCCTGGCAAATGGATGTGAGTGACTCCACTCTATACAATTCGACATACAAAGCTTCGGATTCATGATAATTCAAACAACGCTAACATTTTACAAATGATAAATGACAGCTTCACACCTAACCGCGAATTGCCATCCTCACGAGCCATCAAAATATTACTTCCAACTTTGAGCACAAGTAATAATCTCAAAAATTATCATTGTGGTCAAAGCATTTAACGTATGCCTCATTTAATTGAAGTCAAATTATATTTGACAATTCTTGAAATGTGCCCAAGTGATTATCAAATAATATCACTAATGAACAATTCTTGTAAAAGAATTTTGAACCAACCCTTTAAAAATTAATTTATACAAAGTTAATTCTAGGGACACCAAGATTCATTCCATGTGTTTTGCAAACACCTAATTAATTTTCTCAAATTAATTATATGACATTTTGGCAAAACAAAAGTATGTCAATTTATAATATTCATATATACATCTATATGTATAAAATTGAACAATTGAAATTTTAATTCCATACTCAAACGATAATTACACCTTTTTGCCAATATTGCTCAATAATTTTCATGTAAATTTTAATTTGAGAATTATATCCACCTCTCCCGTATCTTTTATACAGAAATTTAGAGGAAATAAACCTTTTAATCATACTTCCCTTTCATGGTGTTTGTGCCCATAAAATCTCAATACAATCGAATAGAACACAGTCCCCCAATTCCATATAGGAGTTTCTAGAATGCTGTTGTTTTATTGCTTCCAGTCAGTCCCACTATGGGCTGCACTAAATATTTGATCATTCAATGATCATTGCTAAATTGCACTGCAGGCAAGCCAAAAATATGTTTTCGGCCGCCTCCCCCAACCGAAAAAAAAAACCTGTTTGCATTCTTCCCGAGATGCAAATTTTATTCTCTTAAAATGATATTTTGAATGCACACAAATTTATTTTCAAAATCAATTCTAACAAATTGATAATTAAAATGATAAATTTCAATATCCTCAAATTTGGACATCTTACCAAATTTTTAATTTTCATATCCGCCAAAGTATCGCATCCAAGATTTTTCAAAAATATCGTATAAGATTCTTGGAGAAATAATTTGGATTGAATGAAAATACGAAGAAATCGAATTTCGCAGGTATACATGATCTTGGATATACTTTGAGTCGCGTAGATTCACTTTCCTTATACAATATTTCAACCCTATTAATGCCCCAAGTTACACAAAATTCGTATGAGAATAAAACAAAACAACACTCGAATTTTAGGCGAAAAATTGAGCAAGTAGAATGTTGAGAGATTATTTGCCTGTGAAGAATATATTTTCCAGAATTCTGGAGAACAGAGACCCAGAGTGTATTTTTGCGTGATTCACAGATTTTGTGATTTTTTGCCGCTCTCTCTTTCTCTCTCCTTTTTTCTCTCTAAATTCTGTAAAGATAAAGACATATAAATAGATTTGGAAGTGTCTTGTCACTACAAAAAAATAATATATTTGTAACGGAATTCCGTCCCTAAAGTTCACGTAGCTAACGTAATTCTGTTCCTATTTCCGTGTCTAATGTCATTAGTAACGGAAAAAGTAGATTTAGAGACAAAAAAATTTTGTTACAAAAATGATTTTTTCTTGTAGTGTGAACTTGAATTTTAAATCCAACAGGCACAACTTTTTAATATATTCATTAAAGTTGTCAATTCAAATTTAAATAAATTTGAATTTATAAGGTTTTATGCAACAATTAAATAATTTAATTCATCGTTTGAAAATAATAACTTTCAAATAAAATTAATAGCAATTACTCTATTTTTCTGGAAAATACATAATGTTTCAAGATTATCACATGTCAAAATATAATATTTCATTTAGTCATAATCATGACTAAATCATAATTATAATTTCACAGTTGCCTTATCTTCAACTTATTTTACACTTCATTCAATGTCGTATAGGCATCCTCGAGCGCACCCCACGCGACCCTTTCCGAAGATAGCTTGATAGGATATTTTTTTATCTTTTAATAAATCCAATAATAATAAAATAACCAACATCCTCTTGTGGAGATACCCAAATAAGATGACATGTAGGCATTTCTGATTTTTAAAAAATAAAAAAAATCTGATAGGTACGCATATCTGGAGAGATACTCATCAAATTTTTACTTTTTATTTTCATATTTATATTTATATTTTAATTATTTATATATATTTTTATTATATAAAATTTTATATTTTACACAATGATATGTATATTGATATATTTTTAAATTTTGAAATAATTAATTCTAATATAGATATAAATATATATACTTTTTTGTTGAGTTAGAAAAAAAGAGAATGTGATGGGGAAGTGTGGAGATATTTTAGATATCTTTGGGATTAGATCATCGATCCAAGTTCTATCCTGTCTAATCAGGCTAACAAATAAAAACATGACACGTGTATGTATGTAAGTATGTATTATTATTATTATTTTAAATCACAAATTACAATCTAAATTGTAATCTCCCAGTAATTAAATAGTCGATCTAGCCTGTGACAGTCGACGCCGCCACCACCAATCGACGCCGCCGCCGCCGCCGCCGCCGCCACCGCCACCACCGATCGACGCTGCCGCCGACGACACCAAAATCAGCAGGTTTATTTTATTCAATTTCTATCAACCAAATCTTCGCCAGAATTTCTGTCCACTCTAGCCGAATTCATCCCCTGAAGAAATCACCACCGTTGTCGCCGCCGAAATCAGTGTGCGTTTTGTATTTTTTACTTCGGAATTTTTAATTATCTCTTTTAAATCATAATTTAAACTCAAATTCAGATCTGATTCATTCTCTCCCGTCGGGTGAGTGCACATCGTAGTTCTCCCCAAATTTGCCCTCTCTCTAGTTGCTCGTTGCCGACGCTACAACCACCGTTGCTGCCAACGCGCTTTAGCAATATTTCTCCTCTTTGTAAAATTCATCGCAATCAATAATTTTCCCCAAAGTTTGACCCGACCGAGAGTCCGGACCTTCCTATCGATGTCGCCGAAGAAGGAAGTGAACTAATTGAAAGAGAAAATGGAGATGGAAGTGAACGACAAGAAAGTGAAGCCACAAAGAAAATTGTTCGTATTATGGGTGGTTGTTTTTGTTGTTGGTGGATGTGGTTTTAATGGTATGTATTTTATGTGTATTTAGGCACGACTGCGATAATTTTTTCTCATGAAAATTCAATCCAATTTGGTTTTCAATGCTCTCTAGTTATAGAATGTGTTAGCATACGGATTTGGGATGTTTGATTTGAGCTGAGTTTTATTTGCTTTGGTGTTTGTGAATCATATTGATCAGATGGTGTCACTGCTACCTTTATAAGGTTTTTGAAGATTCTTAAGTTCATTTCATTCAAATGGTTTTATGTGCATTTTAAGTCATTACTTAATTGAATCACATGTTTGTTTTATTCAAATAATTATTGATGTTGTTTTCTTATTAGAAGCTTTCTGCTGAAAATTTAAAATCATTATGAATGATCTAAATTATCTTTGTTCTCTAAAGTAATTTTGCTAGTTCTATTTTACTTTAACACTAATATATAAATATCATTGTGCAGTTTGTGAGACTACTAACAAGTTATTAGATGGTATATTGATATTGATTCTTGCCTATTTTAATTTGTTATTTTAACTTCAATATTTTGGACACAATTTTATTACTATGCCAAAGTCTCCACCAGGACACAATTTGTCAGCAGTATATTAGATTTGATTTCACAATATAGCAATGCATTGATTAACAATGCATGAGTACATCACTGGTTCATCCAAAACAATATCGAAGCAAAAATATACACATCTACGCCGAATATATCCAAAAAACAAAAAAAAAAAAATCTCAGTGCCAAGGTTCATCCAAAATAAGTGTGAGGTCCTGCAATACATGAGTGAACAATAAAGGTTTGCAAGCTAATACATTACATTAATAAAAAAAGCAGATTAACATATTAAATAAGCTAGTCCAGGAAGACTCCAGTGGTCACGATCGAATGCTGTTCAACAGCTTCTGATCCGATGAAAACATTCTGGAGAATCAAGATCAATCATCTCTGGCTCAAGCTCAATCAGTCCTAAAACCTGAAAAAGATTTTAAGAAGCATAAATTTTTTATTGAACATCAGTTTTGTTGTTCATACTAGATTAGTACATTGCCATTTATTATTATAAATACCCTTTCAGAAAATCTTTAGTGGCTACACATTAAGATTTCCACTGCATTCACCGCCAATACGCGATGACTGAACCTAAGTTTATGTATAAAAAAAAAATTAAAGTAAAAACTAGTAAAATAATTATTTTAATGTAAACTCATATCATCATAAAATAAATACCTCAAGTAATTCTGTGAACTTCATAGAATAAACGGACTCATTGCGATAATGAGATTGTATATTTGATATTTGGTTGACTATTGCAATCTATAATACAGGACAATAAGAAACAATTCAAGGAATTATTAAATATAAGCAAAAATTAAATCATAATTATTATAATTAAATTAGAAATTTTATTTTAAAAAATTAACCTGCTCTCGAGGGATTTGATAAGACTGCAATGCAATGCTATCGGATACTAGGCAGGCTTCATTAGTGAATGTCTGCATAATAAATAAAGTTATCATAAATTCTTTGAATAAATAAAATTATTTACAATGCAGTGATAAGTGCGCACCTGGGTCTCAACTAAACACTCATTTCCTCGAACTTCAGCTTGCTTTTTTTTTTTTGAGTTTCTTTCCAATCCATTTTTTGGTCTTTTACCCGAACGCACCTTCGTCCTATTCTTTATACCTTTTATGTGAATGTTGTCTTTATTGTTCATACCAACATTGTCAATGCCCTTTAAAGATATTCCATCAGAATTCTCTTTTCGACTCTATAATTGTTCATTCACTCTTTCAGTTATCTTCAATAATGCATCTCTGGCAAACTCATAAGATTCTTTATTTTCTGAAGCTCTCGTTACCAGTTTGTTGCATAAAACACTCAAATCCTTACAGCGCAAGCTTAACTCATTTTTCGGATCATCCATACTGTGGTCCCCGACATACATTCTACTATGCAAATCACCTAGTCTTGCATCTTTTGTCCACCTCTTTAGTATATATTGATCCGGAATTTTCAATACATCATTTTTTGTGAGAATTTTCAGTCCATGAGAAGATAATATTCCAGAAAAATCAAATTTCTTGCAACTACAAGCAACTGTCTTATCTGATGAATCATATTTCACAATATGGTACCTTGATCTCTCAAGATAGCTAACCTGATAATCCGTAATGGTTTCATGCGATCTAGTAATAGATCCAACGCAATCATACGCTTTTCCCAATTCCTTCTGAAATATTTTAAAAACTTCTGGGGTATACACACTCGCGGCATGTTTCAGGAGCTGAATTGGGAACGGAAGCACAGGCGCACTAGTACTTGCTTTGAAATCGGCCTGCAACTGTTCATATCGACGAGATTCAACCAAATTTTCAAACTTTTCAAAAAACACCCGCAAGTTGTTCTTTGAACTAGAATACCTTTTAATCACACTGTTAATACTCTCACTACGCTGTGTCGTCGTAATATCAGCACAAAAGAATTGACGACCATACACCAATGCCCATTTTTCTTTCAAATTGAATAGCCTTCTCAACCAATCATTATCTACCAAATTTTATTTTGCCAACCTTGCATTCCATTCATGCAAAAACTCATCCTCTTTGTCAAAATCATAAACACATCTCCCAAAATCATGCACAAAGTTTTTATGCTCAGCAAAAATACCACCCAAATGTATTGCGGAATTTTGATAAATATGCCAAATACATAACCTACAAAATTAACAATTTAGGAGTAAGTTATTCTATGAAAAAAATATATATATACTATAAAAAATTACAAATATAATGTATTGAACTATTTATGCCTAAAACAAAACCTGTGATGAGTCTCAGGCCACCTCGAAGCCGACGCATTTGCCATAGCTGGATCTTGATCTGTCAAAATTGTAGTTGGCTTTCTTCCATACATGGTGTTGACGAAAGTGTCAAACAACCACTCAAACGAGGGAATAGTCTCATCGTATAAAAGTGTTGCACCAAAAACTATTGTTTGCCTGTGGTGATTAACACCAACAAACAAGGCCAAGGGACGATTTTCCTTATATTTTCTATATGTAGTGTCGAAAGAAACTACGTCCCCAAAATCAAAATAGTCTGCTCTCATTCTACCATCGACCCAAAATATGTTTGTAATCATATCATCTTCATCCACTTGAATGGAATACGAAGAATTTAAATCTCTGTTTTGCATCCCTTGTAAATATTCCAATACCCCTCTAGTGTCTCCAACCTCCATGTACTTAGTCCTCTTAGATCGCAAGTAATTTTTAATGTCTTGCCTAATAAACCCTAAGCTTTCCCGGCCACCGGCTTCCTTAATCATTAAATCATGTGAGACTTTTGGAGCAAGTCCCACATGTTCGGCCATATCTATCTGGGAAGCATGAACTTCATCTATTCTCCTATGTGACGGGAAAAAATGAGTTTTCTGAGGACTAATAAGTTGATGAGTGTGTTCAGATATAAACTCAAATACTTCGTATTTGTCATTCTCTTTCAATCGAATTCTCATCTTTGCCTTGCACTCAAATCTTGTTATTGCTCGTGGTGCTCTCACATTAATATTTCTTTTATCTTCTCCCCTTGTGCCTTCAGCGCTACATGAAAACATTCTGCATTTATCTTTCCTGTTCGATCTTTATGCATTTTGTGTCTTTTCATACCAAAACCCGCTTTTTTAGCATAAGCCAAATAAAATTGATATGCTTCTTCTTCATTGTCAAACTCCTTTCCAATTTGAGGTGTTTCTTCGGGAGAAATATGTTGACGATCATTTTCCATATTTGTAAAGTCTAATCTACGCGAAGACGAAGACTTATTCTTTCCTAACTCATCAATCTCCATCATCACCTGCAAACGTATTGTGTAGATACATTACTCATAAATACAACAATAAAAGATCATTATACAAAATACAAAACAATAAAATAAAAAATGAAGTAAAAAAACAGTAAAAGAACATATAAAAAAATATTAAACAATAAAATAAGAAATGAAATGAAAGGAACTGTAAATTTCAATAATTAAAAATTCCAAAGTACAAAATACAAAACACACACTGATTTTGGCGGCGACAACGGTGGTGATTTCTTCGGGGTCGGGGGATGAATTCGGCTAGAGCGGACAGAAATTCTGGCGAAGATTTGGTTGATAGAAATTGAATAAAATAAACCTACTGATTTTGGTGTCGTCGGCGGCGGCGTCAATCGGTGGCGGCGGCGTCAACTGTCACAGGCTAGGGCGACTATTTAATTACGGGGAGATTACAATTTAGATTGTAATTTGTGATTTAAAATAATAATAATAATACATACTTACATACATACACGTGTCATGTTTTTATTTGTTAGACTGATTAGACATGATAGAACTTGGACCAATGATCCGATCCCGGTATATTTGTTGCATGTGCCCTTAAGTACCTGCTATTGTTTCTGTACTAAAACAATACTCTAATATACTTATATATATATTTTTCGTTTGTCTCAAATATTTTATAATGTTTTTATAATAACAAAAAAATTAATAATACTTAATTCCTATTAAATATACATCATATTTTATTTTATCATAACATTCAAATGAAAAAATAAATATTTCTATTTTTCATAATATCTAGAAATTATTATATTTAATAGTATCCATCTAAATTATCATGTCCAAAACCAAATATTCCACTATGTTTGGGTTGGAAGAATCATTTAGTTCAGTAGGTACAAGCACACACGTTTGTAAATATATAACCACCCTGCAACTCAATCTCACCGTTCCTTCCCACTCTATCCACACATGTGTACCTCATTTTTTTTTTTTATCGATGATACATATACATACACCTAGGTAGGTCTATATACATTTATTGGTGTACTATTTTCATTGTCTTTTTATCTTTCCATTCTCTCTTACCAAGACCTTGTTGTAAATTTTAAAAAAAAGAAAAAAGAAAGAAAAAAGACAAATTTAATATTTATAAAATTAACAACCAAAAGCTTGAGTATAATTACAAAAACCCGAAGGAAAAAATAAATAATAAAAATGGATTATATTATTCATGTATATTAACAATTTGAAATGTCAAAAAATGTATTTTACAAAAATGCCTACGGAAAGCACACCATCAAAGTCACAACATATGTTAACAAAATCAAAGCAATCTAACACAATTTATCAATAAAAGTGAGGAACACCTACACTCCAACCACAATTATTAGAAATGCCAGAGAGTATTCCCCATAATCACAAAGAATCAAAGAACATACAGATTGAATAAAGAACAAAAGTAATTGTGTTCTCAAAGGAACACTTACAATGGTTCACAAACAATCATAAATCAACAGATAAGCAAAGTATTAGAAATGATAAAACCAGAATGAAAATAATCCACATGCAATAGATTATATCATGTGCTTTCCAAAGGCCTCATACACCAAAACCTCAAACCAAGCTACATAACATCACCAAACTAGATCTATTATCTGCGGAAGAGAAGTGATAGAAAAACTAATAATAATAGGTGTGAATGATGTATTAGAAAAAGAGAAGGTGAAGTAAAATCAATACGGAAATTGATTTGAGTACGAATGAAGGCGGATGCATGGTGAGGCGATTCTAGTGATCATGTCTAGAACGTGCACAAATAGGGAGAATGTATGAAGAAGATGTGAAAAACGGTAGATGTAGAGTGCTTTGTGTGTGATGGCGAGTGTTTGGAAGAAGAAGGTGAAGGCGGAGGCGAGGTGGTGCACTGTGTGTGAAGGAGGAAGTGAGTGAGAAAAGAAGATGAATATGGCGATGGCAGACTTAGGGCAGAGACTTTTACCAACCCGCCTTCACTCAAAGGGCCTTCATTCACCAACCTGAAATAGATCAAACAAGTTATTAAGCTTTCACGAATGAACGATTGGTTTACTGTCCAATCCTTTGGTAAATTAGTGCACTGATTTTATGAATTAACAAACATAATAGAGATAACCCTTTTAGTTATATAGTCTCTTAAAAAATGACAATCTATTTCAATGTGGTTGGTTCTTTCATGAAACACAGAATTAACAGTCATTTGAAGAGCAGTAGTGTTATTGCAATAAAGGCTTACTGGACCAATATGATTAACATTAAAATCCTTAAGTATACCTAAGACCCACATTACCTTGCCACAAGTTTGTGCCATCGCTCTGTATTCTTTCGGCCGATGACCGTGAGCCTGTTGATTTGGAGGCGAGGTGGTGCACTGTGTGTGAAGGAGAAAGTGCGTGAAAGAAGAAGATGAAAATGGCAGTATGCGTAGAGTAAAACATGCAGGAAAAATATGTACATTTGTTCAAAAGATTAAACTCTTAACGAGACATACATTTTGTGGGTACCAACCCAGCACTACAAAAACGGCCAACTTGCATCGAAAATTAGTGACAGACAAAAAAGGTCGATCATGACTTTGACATTTGCAATAAAAATTTGTGACGGAAAAATATAATCATGGTATACTTGGCGATGGATGTTAAATCCTTCGCAAAGCGACAGAATAAAGTTCCTTCGCAAAATCTTCATTAAAATCCATAATTCAGTTTTAATTCGACATCAATTGATTGACAACAACAAAACTCTCTCTAATGGCAGCGGTGGCTTCGACTCAGCGGACAGAGGGGCTGAAGGGTGGGGTTGAATGGATATGTAGCAAGTTAGAGGTAGTTAGAATTTATTATGTTTTTTAACACAAATCCGTTGGTGGACGATGGTTTTGACTTGGCGGACGACGATGGTGAACGGTAGCTTCGACTCGGTGAACGGTCGTGGTGAACGGCGGGATTGAATGGACATGGAGCAAGTTGGAGTTAGTTCAAATTTATAATTTTTTAAAAAACTCAAATGCCGTTGGTTTCCGGCGTTATCAACCGAAGGTCTCACGGTAGCCGCTAGCGGCTGTAGCCTTTTGTCCGAACGATCGCTTATATTTTGGTAATATGATTTTTGTTTTATATAACATTGAAGGATTTATTGTATTTTTTTGTGGTGATTTGGGGTGTTTCAAAGAAGTAGTAAGAACGGTTCAATGAATTATTCTAATATGTATTTTTCTCGTTAGAACTCAATGTATCATCTCATAATTTGCATCATATATTTCGTGTAGGATAAATTATATTTCATAGTGAATTAATGTTGTGTGATTTGGTTGAAGTTTATGCCTTTTTGTTCACATAAAGTTCAATTTGTGAAGAAACATTTTAACACATATGGGTTAAACTATTGAAACTATATTGTTACTTATATACACATGATGTTGAATGTAGGTTTCAAAAGTAGAATGAAGTGAAAAGTATCATATCAAATCTTGTGAAGTATATTTTACACAACTTTCTAAAATTTTTGATGGAATAAAATTCCTATTCTAGAAAGCATAATTGATGTTGAAAGTATAAATTTACGGCGGCGGTTAGGATGCTGAGCACACTAACCTCAAGCACATTCAACACAAGGTAGACAATATAATATTGTGCTATATAGAAATATATATTGTATAGTTTATATCTTGTATTGTACCGTATACATATGCTTATTGTGTCAAAAATTAATAATATATTATGTTGTATGTTGTATTATCATGTGTTGTATATTATACTCTATCCGTCCGCCTCTAAGGGTCACATTTACCTTTTGTGTCATTGTACTTAACATTAAAAATATCTTTATATTTGTATAATTTTTTGTACAAATGTCCTTCTATTAGTAATATAAGACACTAATAGAACTATTTTTGCAATTTTTCTTAATTTGTAATACGTTTTAATATATTAATTAATATTCAAAGATCAACATGCAAAAAGTAAATGAGACCCTTATAGCCAAACGGAGGTAGTATTATATTATAATGTCATTTATGTGTTTTATGCTTGTATATTTGTGCTAATCGGGTGCTGATTTGACTCAGTCAATACGGAAACTGAAGTTTTAACTCTACATAACTTCAAGCTCACTTTCCGTCTGCATCTAACCCATAACATCTAAAACCAACTACCAATTGCGGAAATATGATTCAGAAAATGTATATTATTATTATTATTATTATTATTATGTTTTGATCGAAAAGATCAAAGGACTTATATTCATACCAAAGTAAAAATATATAAACAATTACACCGGACATACCCGGAAAGAGGGACAAAAATGGTGGTACATCACCATAACATTAGGAAAAGCCAATTGATAAAGTAAACAATTAAATAAAATAATAAAGAGGCAAGTCGTCCATTACAAAAAAGCCCACAAGAAAATGAGAATCGAAAAATAGGCACAAAACATTGAAAAATAGGCCTAGACGGATTGAGATATATGCAGGCTTCTTTTATCAGCACTTTATGATCGGGATAAAAATAT